TTTCGAGTTTTACTTGGACATTTGAAAGAGAGCTCCATTTTTATATATAAGATAAATACTAATTTATAGTCATTGAGTATTTCTATTAAAATTATTATATTTTCGTTTCTATATTCAAAGTTTGATACTTTTGTTGAAAATAAGTACTAATTTATATTCATTAAGTATTTCTATTAAAGTTATATTTTCAATTCTAAATTAAAATCTATTGAAAGTCGTCACTTTCGTAGATAGGTAATTATTTTTAATCGTCAAATATTTCTGGTGAATCAGAATTTAATTCGAAACAATGATACTTTTGCAACTTTATATAATAATATAATACTATCTTTCATAATATGATACTATTTTTTAATTAAAGAGAATTTTTCTTTTTGATATAAATTAGCCGACACTATTATTATAAATGAATACTTTCGTCAGAAAACAATACTATTTTTTAATTAATGATTTTTTTTATATAAATTGGCCGACACTATTATCATAAATGAATACTTTCGTCAGAAAACGATACTATTTGTTAATTAATGAGTTTTTTTTATATAAATTAGCCGCCACTATTATTATAAATGAATATTTTCGTCACAAATCGATACTATTTTATAATTGTTGAGTATTTTTCTTTTTGATATAAATTAGCCGATACTAAATTCATAAATGAATACTTTCGTCACAAAACAATACTATTTTTTAATTATTGAGCATATTTCTTTTTGATATAAATTAGCCTACACTATTATTATAAATGAATACTTTCGTCACAAAACGATACTATTTTTTAATTAATGAGTATTTTTATATAAACTAGCCGATACTAATTTCATAAATGAATACTTTCGTCACAAAACGACACTATTTTTTAATCAATGAGTATTTTTCTTTTTGATATAAATCGAATTTGAAAGTAGTATCGAAAAATTATTGTTTTAAACTTCTTAAAATATTGAAAATGATGCTGATTGAACAGCATCAAATACAGGCAATAGAATTTATCATAATATTGTAATTCGATCTGTAGAGAGTTTTAGATCTCTCTTGCACTTATGTTTGATTTAGGTGAAAAGTACTCAATATTCCATACTGAATAGTATCGATACTTTTGCCACGAAACTTTTCTGGAATCGATACTTTTATTTGCTTCGATTCTTTTTTCAGTACTCGGTATCGATACTTTGCTTCGATACTTCTTACACTAGTTGTGGGTAGGCTTGACGGTAGCGGGAATCGAACCAGCGACCCCGGGACTAGTGATTCAAAAAACTTTCTGCTTGTGTTGACGAAACGATTTGAAAAAGATTTTTTTTTTGTTAATTTTTTTGGATATCGAAAATTATTCGGAATTTTATTTCAATTCTAGCTAAAGTTCTAAAGCTCACTTATATACTTCAAATAAATAATTTTAACTTTGCAATTCAGTTTATATAATTCTCATAAATATTAGATAATATCCTTCATGTTAAATTCGATTGATCGAGTTTTACTTACTTTTTGAGTTTTATTTACTTTTCTGTAAACATTTATAAGTAGATGTATTTATAATCATATATTTTAAAGCATTAAATATTCCTTGATTACTTCATTACGGTACGCAAACTTAATTTGCCTTAAGGCATGATGCCATGCCCATACACCACTAGTTTTACAGCAAAAATTGGATATTGTGTTAAGAAAGAATATTGTTTAAATGTTGAGATACATTTTTCACTAAATATACGGTTAATAATATTGTTTTTTCGGACGTTGTTGTGATTGATTGCCTTATTGTAAATTGTAAAATACTTTATTGATAACTGTATTTATTTATTTTAAAAGTTATAATAGTATTTACAATAATTTTAATATGTTTTTGATTACGTATTGATTGATTTGATTTTGGTTTTATTATCGATTGATGATTTTTTTGTTTTATATATCAATATAACCGCATGCTTTGATTGGCGCGAACAAATATATTAAAATTGAATAATTCGAAAATAAAGTTCACTAATATTATTTATGGTAAGATTGTATAACTTCTGAAGTCAATTTTTAACTATTAAATTGTAAGTATGTCAATTTGTAACAGTTAAATTTGCGATGACGTATAATATGACGTCATAACTGCGAGTTGCTTATATGTCATAAGGTCATATAGTCTATCTTGCGTCGCGCAAATCACAAAGCGACATTGCGTTTAGGTGGAAGCTAATGAGAACATGCGGCGTTAGCAATCTGTATTCCACAAGCTGTGGGTATTCCATAAGCATGGCTGACATCGCGCAACATAGGCACGACGTTTAACACCATTTAGTGACCACATCGCGTGTTTACAGGGTAGTTATTCCAACTCTCGTGATAAATATTTGGTATAATTTTTGTTTTTATCATCGTAATGGCTGGACCTGCCTTTGCCAAAAACTGATCACCACTTTTCCCAATCATTACAAATTGAATGTTTTTTGGATCATTCAAATTGGATACTCCGTTCTCTCAAAAAGTCGATTTCTATTTTTTGCACTATTTGCTCCGTATGTCCGTAACGGCTGGATCTGCCTTTGCCAAAAACTAAACGGTACATCTCCCTATCAGTAGGAATCAAATAGTTTTTAATAATTTAAATCAGTTGATACGTGAGTCCCAAAACGTGGACGAAACATTGCATATACACAAAACACACACACTAATTTTTTCAGAGCTATGACAAAATGTTCAAAAACTCTGAAACGTGAAAATATGCAAAAATTCTCATTTTCTATTTTTGGCCCATTACTATAACTTATCCTACGGTAAGTTAAAAAATACTTGTCTTTAGAAGTATCTTAATAATCAAATGCAAGATTTTTTTTTATTATGCCTTATGTATTATAGTTTCAAATTATATGTATATATCTGAATTACAAAACTTATTTCCACTATAATTTCTATATTAACATATGAATAAAAGAACCATTTTTAATTTCCCGTAGGGTAGATATAGTAATAGGCCGAAAATCAAAAATGAAAATTTTTGCATATATTCTCGATTTGAAGGGTTCTGAACATTATGGCATACCTCAGAAGAAATGGATGTATGTGTGTGTTTTTCATGTCCGCATTATTTGTCCACGTTTTCGGGCGTACGGATCAACCGATTTAAATGGTTAAAACACTTTCTATTCCTGTTGATAGGGAGATGTGCTGATTAGTTTTTGGTAAAGATCGGCCGGGCCGTTTTCTTGTAATAAAGTTTAAGAAAAAATTCGACGATTTTTATGATTTTTTTTATGGTAGATAACATAGTCTTATAGATCATACTAAAATATTACGGCCCTACGACAAGTCGTTTAATTTTAAAAAATTGTCAAAATTTAGAACTTAGTATCGTTTTTTTGGCGTTTGTCAAAATTAGACCTTTCATAGACGTTTGCTCAAAAACGTCTGAACCGATTTTAAAAATTTGAAAGACGATCGATGTATTTCGATGTGGATTATTTTTTCTGTTTTGGGCGACGATCTGCCGTGCCGTTTCTTCGGAATTTGGAAAAAAGTGTTAAACTTTTTGTCCACATTTAAGCATATACTACTAAATCGATTTTGAAAAATCAAAAACTGTTTGTAAAATATTAGTTGGGAATGATACTGATTAGTTTTAGGTGAAAATCTATCGAGCCGTTTTCTTGTAATTAACTGTTGAAAAAAAAATTTAAGCCGATTTTGATGGAACTTTTTTGGCGATATACACCATGGTCTTATAGAAATATTACGGCCTTACGACAAGTAGTTAAATTTTAAAAATTCATCAAAGTTTTAGAAAATGAGTAGTATTTTGACGTTTGTTAACTTCCCATAGGGCAAGTTATAGTAATCGCAAAAAAATCGAAAATGAAAATTTTTATATATCTTTACGTTTCAAAGGTTTCTTAACATTTTGGCATACCTTAGAAAAAATGGATGTATGTGTGTGTGTATGTGCGTGTGTGTATGTATGTGCGGATACAAATTTTCGTCGACGATTTCAACCGATTTGAATAATTCAAAAAACATTCGATTTGTATTGATAAGGAAACGTGCTGATTAGTTTTTGGCGAAGGCAGGTGTAGCCGTTCCAAAGATACGGGGCAAAAAGTGCCGAAAACGGTAAATCAGTTTTTAACAGAACGGAGCGTCCGATTTGAATAATTCAAAAAACATTTTACTTGTATTAACAAGATGAAGAATTGATCAAATTTTTATGAAGGCAGGTCTAACGGTTTCGGAAATATGGAGGAAAAAGTAAAAAAATGAGCCATTTGGCGGTCAAAAATGAACATTAGACATATGCACATCAAATTATCAGATATTTTATAGAGATTTTAACAATAAGTATAATTTTTTTTTACATTTCTATGGGTTCCGTACCAATGCTTATGCGTTAGACGGCGGCGCGGCACTTGCGCGCTTTGACATTTCTTCTCTATGCAGTTCAAGCAGTACGATTGCTTTGAAAAAAAGTTCAGAATTACCAAAATATGTCAAAATGAAGAAAACATTTTATTTTTCAAAAAAAATTTGTTTCCAAAAAAAATTTTTTTTTTTCAAAAAAAAGTATTTTTTTGTCAAATTTATAGTTTCTCAAAAATCTAATTTTTTCAAAATAATTTTTTTTTTCAAAAATGTTAATCGTTTTTAAAAAGATAATTTTTGGTACGGGAAGTTCCAGCAATTTGCCTTAAGGCACGATGCTTTAATTGCCTTAAGTCAGAATTCCACTTACAGCTAGTTAAAATTAAAATTAAGCGATTTACTTGGTATGATGATAGAGTACTTGGTCTTAAAGAACATACTAATCCATTAAAGCCCTACGGAGACTAGTTCAGTTATAAAAATGATTGATTTTGGAAAATACTCCGAGTTAACGTGTTCGTTCGTTTTCAATGATGTGTAATAAATCCATTCGGAATACTTTTAATCATTCACAAATTAATTTATATTTCATTGATTAAATCGATTATTTACACATATCGAGAAGTTCATGTAACTTGCCTCAAGGAAAAATACCAATACGAACCAGTTTGTATTATGTATTTATTATATACTGAGTAAATAATATTTAAAAAATTAACTGTAATGAAATAAAAAAAAGTTAGCTTCATCAGACCGATTCTACAAGTAGCGCGATTCCTTGGCCACCGCCTATGCAAGCAGACCCTACAGCCTTTTTCAATCCTTTCCTCCTGCAACAAGAGTTCTTTGTCAACGACTTTACATAAATTAAGTAAATGATTTTTTTTTATTCAACTGACCTTAATTCATGTACTAAATGAGCAGTTATCCTGGCTCCCGAAGCTGCAAGAGGATGGCCTAAAGCAATTGCTCCTCCGTTGACATTTAGTTTTGATGTATCCATATTTAAAGCCTGTGCACAGGCCATAGTTTGAACACCAAATGCTTCATTTATCTACAAAAAAATCATGTATATAGATAAAAGAAGAGTATAGAGAAAATAACTTAAATCAATATTAAATTTATATTGTCATAAATATTTGACCATTGTCACATTATATAGAAATAATTATTATTTATTATGTGTTTTGAAGAAACAAATATAATTAATATGTGCTATCTATGTGTTATATATATATGATATCTGTGCTATATATATAAGATTTATCTAACACGCCATATTTCTAATGAAACTCAAATGTTTGAAATTATAGTGGGTATATATATATATATATATATATATATATATATATATATATATATATATATAGTTTATATATATTGTAGAGTTTCGAACAAGAATCCAAACAGTAATAAAGAACAAAAAAGAAGTTTTTTTGAATAAACTATTTATTTATTTATTTATTTATTTACTGTCGACGTTTCGGAACTAGGTACGTTCCATCTTCAGGACATCTGTCAAGAAACATGATCTTGATGAGATTTAAGCAAACAATATGTTTAAGAAAAGAAAATGGATTTTTCTTAATTAATAAATTAGTTGAAAAAATAATAATGTACAGAAATATGATAATATGATCAAAACGAAAATGATAAAAATAAATGAGTAGATTATCTAACAGGATATTAAAAATGATAAAACTTTTTTTTGAAAGTTATGGAAAATTTAAGGAAAGGTTAATGACAAAATTGAATTAATTACCTGTATGTTTGAATATCCGTTAGCACTTTTTCACTAAACAAAATTTTTAAACAAAAATGAATTTGAGTTATTTTTCAGCCGAATAGGTAAATTTTGTAAATTAAAATTACTATAAGTTTTGCCTTTTTTAAAATTATTATTTGAAAACACAAACAATATTATTCTCTCGATGTTATGAGATCGGCTGTTGGAAATGAACTAACTAAATCTGAGTCACACGCAACACGTGCAACCACTTGAGAACTGTGAGGTTGTAAGTGTGTGTTTTTATATGTTAGGGTGTAAATACTTAAATTATTGATCTTAAATGGAAGTCGATATTATCCGTTTGTCAAAAAGTGTAAAAAATTAAAATTTTTACGAACATTAAATCTCCTACCCCATCCAATTTCAACACTAACGTAGTATATTCTGTTTCTTGTAACGACTGTGCTTTCCAATATATTGGACAAACCTCACAATATGTACACAAAAGAATGAGGAGACAACATGAACTAACTGTGGTCCACCATAAACAAAAAAAAATCAAAAGTACCCTAGTACAGCACTCTATTGAAAATGCCCACTCGTTTAACTTCACTCCAAAGATCTTATATCACGAAAGTTGCATCTTTAAAAGATTATTTGCGGAAAGCTGTCTTATTCTTATGAACGTTTCTAATAGTGTCAACATTAGATCAGATCACAACCTATTACATGATTCTTATTTAAATTTTTTACACTTTTTGACAAACAGTTAATATTGACTTCCATTTAAGATCAATAATTTAAGTATTCACACCCTAATATATAAAAACACACACATACAACCTCACAGTTCTCAAGTGGTTGCACGTGTTGCGTGTGACTCAGATTTAGTTAGTTCATTTCCAACAGCCGATCTCATAACATCGAGAGAATAATATTGTTTGTGTTTTCGAATAATAATTTTAAAAAAGACAAAACTCATAGTAATTTTGATTTACAAAATTTACCTATTCGGCTGAAAAATAACTCAAATTCATTTTTTGTTTAAAAATTTTGTTTAGTGAAAAAGTGCTAACGGATATTCAAACATACAGGTAATTAATTCAATTTTGCCATTAACCTCTTCTTGAAATTTTCCATAACTTTCAAAAAATTTTATCATTTTTAATATCCTGTTTGATAATCCACTCATTTATTTTTATCATTTTCATTTTGATCATATTATCATATTTCTGTACATTATTATTTTTTCAACTAATTTATTAATCAAGAAAAATCCATTTTCTTTTCTTAAACATATTGTTTGCTTAAATCTCATTAAGATCATGTTTCTTTTCAGATGTCCTGAAGATGGAACGTACCTAGTTCCGAAACGTCGACAGTAAATAAATAAATAAATAAAGAAATAGTTTATTTAAAAAAACTTTTTTTTTGTTTTTTATTACTTTTTGGATTCTTGTCCGAAACTCTACTAAATATACACAAATCCAAGACTCTACCATTTTATATACATATATATACATATATATATATATATATATATATATATATATATATATATATATATATATATATGGAAATATAATGTAATATATTTTATTGAAGATTATATATTGACAACACTATGTGTAATCATATTGATCATTTATAAAATGTAGTTAGTTTTTATTTATTTAAAATGAGAAAAGAAAGGTTTTAAGAATAATAATTTTGGCAATGAGACTCGGGAGAAACAAAAGAGAGATCCGAACTGACGCTTGAACTTTTGTTTTTGCGCTGACACTATGATGAGCCCAAAATGATGTACATCTGTCAAGTTGAGATGCGACGTGTGTTGACAGGTCGCTACAGATCATACAATTGAGACTCCGATCACGCACATCGAGATCAACAACAACACGTGCTTAAAAAAATCACTCATTATCCTGAGGTGCATGTCAGATTGAATTTTACGGTTTATTATAATTGCATGAAAAGTTTACAAAAGTGTACAGAAAATTAAATAATTGCTTATTTAAACCATTCATAATCGAGACTCTAATGTGCGTTTGTGGAATCAAAAAAATGTCTTACATTTTAATCAAGATATAGAAGCAAAAATGGAATCGGACTGTAAACCAACATAAATCCCAAAACTACGAAGGACCGCAATTGGATCGAGCAAATATAGCAAGATACCTCGCGAAGAAGGTCGGACCATTATGTTTACATCGGAAAAGGTCTCGCTGCGTTCAACTTCATCAGTTTCTGACTCAATGCAGGAAGTATTATCATCTAGTAATAATGCATCTACAAGTCTCACTCATCCACAATCTGATGTCAAGAAAACTCCTAATTCATGGCAAGTAGTCAATTTCAAAAAAAGAAAAACTTCATTTGAACCATTGGGAATAGATGTCAAAATTCAAAACAGATTTTCGGCCCTTTCAACAATAGACACAGCTAATGATGACAACTCAGTTGAACCGGCTCCAGTCAGTAAGCCCCCTCCAATATTTATTTACGGAGTTGACGATATTAATGATATGTCAAATCAATTAAATGAAATAATTCTTCAATCAGCTTATACAACAGAACACCGTTATAATAAATATGTTATCCACGTTAGTCAACAACATAAACAATGGCAAAAATAATTAAAATTGCTGAATGGAATGCCAACGGTTTATTACCTCACAAAAATGAAGTAGAATGTTTTTTAAAATTAAACTTAATAAATATTTTATTAATCTCAGAATCACACTTCACTGAAAAAATCTACTTTAAAATTTATAACTACACTACTTATAACTCAAATCACCCAAGTGGCAGGGCTCGCGGCGGTTCGGCTATATTAATCAAAAATAATATAAAGCATTTTGTTCTACCAAGTATTTGTGATGATTTTCTACAAGCAACTCAAATTTCTGTTGAAACAAATTTATATAATTTTTGTGTTTCTGCTGTTTATTGTCCACCAAGATTCAAAATTTTTTGTGCTCAGTTTTCTTCATTTTTTCTCAATTAGGTAATAAATTTATCATTGGTGGTGACTTTAATTGTAAACATGTTGCCTGGGGTTCTAGACTGACTACAGCCAAAGGTCAGATACTTCATGCAGCCATGAGGCAAAATAACCTCTCCTTTATTTCAACCAGCAGTCCAACATATTGGCCTTCTGACCCTACTAAAGTTCCAGACCTTTTAGATTTTTTTATTGTAAAAGGTATCGATCATTCAAATCTTAATATTGAATCTAGTTACGATCTCTCTTCAGATCATTCTCCAATACTTGTGACGTTTAGCACATTTCCTACTCCAGCTATCAACAATCATATTCTACACAACAAACTTACTAACTGGACTCAATTTAAATCCATACTTGATTCAAAATTATTTCCAAAATCTAAATAGAGAATATTTAGAAAATCGAAATAGAGAATAAAATAGAATATTTTTCTGAGATTGTACGTGAAACAACCAAGCAGATAACCCCGAGTATTATTCCAAGAAATGATAATCTAATAATAATTCCGCAAGAGATTAAGAAGCTAATTGCACAGAAACGAAGAGCAAGACGTACCTGGCAACATTCTCATCTACCAACGGATAAGACATCCCTTAATCATCTCAATAACACGCTGAAGAAAAAAATGAAAAAATGGAAGAATTGTACATTCAGGTCGTATTTATTGCAGCTAAATAGGTACGATAATTCCATATGGAAACCAATCAAGAACAAAAGTAAACCCCTACTACAAAACCCTCCTCTGAAAATTACTAACCAAAACGGTTTCATTTGGGCAAAAAGCAACGAAGAAAAAGCGGAGGCATTTGCTGATCATCTAAGTAGCATTTTTAGCGCTCGAAATATTTCCCAGAATAATTTAATTAACAATTTCGTAAAACAACCCATTCATTCTACACCGTTAGGACATTTTTCACCAAATGATGTCTTATGTGAAATTAAAAGGATGAAAAATAGATCTTCGCCGGGTATGGACAAGATTACTCCAAAAATGTTAAAAGAATTGCCTTCAAAAGGTATTTTATATATAACAAATATTTTCAACGCCATTCTTCAATATAATTATTGGCCCACAGCGTGGAAGACTGCAGAAATTATTATGATCGCTAAACCAAACAAAAACCATCATACTGCTAGTTCATACCGTCCTATCAGTCTTTTATCGATATTATCGAAAATTTTAGAGAGACTTTTGTTGCAGAGATTGTCAGAAGATCATCCGAATGATAGTTGGATTCCTCACCACCAGTTTGGCACTCAGGACTCCTATATAAAATCAAAACAACTTTTCCAAACTACTTCAATATCTTAAGCTCAT